AGACGCAGCGCAAGCGGGTTGCACGGGCTCAATAGCTTTCTTAGCGGCGTCAAGCCACCTTTGGGGCACCCTCGTTAAACAATCTGCTTTGTTGAGGCTAGATTTGACCAGGGACACTTCCATTGTCAGTGCGTACTCTTGCACTAGCTTCACAATCGTGTCGAGCCATCGTCGGATAAGCATTTCGCTGGTGGTTTTAGTCCGCACCCTGGCCCTCCCAGTCAGGGTATCAGAGATCCACTTATAAACGCAAGCGAATCGGTGAACAGACGCAGGGTGGTCGACTTCCAGAGGATCGCCAAGTTGATCCCCTTGATGACAGCATCGAGCCCCCCAGGTTTATGTGCTGGGAGTCCCTTTCTGGACGTAACCAGCAAGCATCTTCCACCACGGCTCCATCATGAACTATCGACACGCCGGTTGCAAGAGAGCTTGCGTCAACCCACACACCGAGGTCTTGGCTGTCAACGCACCATCTGCCCCGCGCTGGGTCTTCCTTTATGCATTTAGCGAGGACCTCCTCATCATGGTGTTGAGAGGGCGCCGTGAACTTCGTCATCCCATCCAGTGGTGACGCCAGATGCTCTCCGCTTGATAAACGCCACCGCAACACGCATCCAGCCACCTACAGGAAGGTGCCCAACTAACTTGCCGCACAAGGAAAATATGCTTCGCCGCTGCGAACGGGGGGCATGTCTGGGAGTTCGTTTCCCGTTTCCAATACAGAACGCCATCTTCTCCCCAGACCTGCAAACAAAGCATCCGCGGCACCATCCTGTAGCCTCTCCGGTTCCTTGCTGAGAAGGCCAAAGTTGTAGAGATGTTCTTCACGCGCCGCAGATATGACTCATTCGCTCACATACACGCCATCAATATATGCAGATGTTGCCCGCTGTATGCGCTCATCTTCGTCAGAATGGCGCCAACAATCATCTGCATAATCGATGGCGCCACATTGAGTCCAAACCCCATGCGGGTCAGGCAATACCTTTTCCCCTTGATAAGCATAGTTTGATAGGGCCACAGTGATTGGTGCACACGCACTTGAAGGTATGCCTTGCGAAGATCCAGCACAGATACATTTGATCCTGCTTGTCGCCATTCCCTTAGCTTCTCGGCACACACGCTGCTGGCTGTAAAAGGGTCCACGTGCTCGTTCAGTTCCCCGACAGTCGAGCACCGCCTCACCTTTGTTTGTTGTGCTGGGGAACCGCCATTAGCGGGATCAGGCCCTTCGGGGCCCCAATTCCTTCTCTGGATAAGGAACCAACCATCCGTTATTAATCCAGGCTCGCAACTCCTTGTCGACTCCACACGAGCTCGCTGGGGGATTTTATATCCGCACACTGTTGTACAGCTTCTCTGGCGGTTGATCGCCTGACCATTTCAAGATACCGTCCAGGACTTTGTGCGCTGGTCGAACTCCGACGAAAAGTCAGGCCGCTCCAGCTCCATTGCTGCACCTAGAGCAAGACCTGTTTCAGTGAAACGCGCCGACCCTCTTTCGTCAACATGGACACCACCCAATTTTTTGATGACGTCCATTCCCAGGAGCAGATCATAGCCGAGCAGCCCTCCGTCCACGACCAGGGCTTGTACAGCTACTGCAGGCCCATCGCCAATTCTTGTGCGGATGACGCCACTCCACAAGAGGTTAGCGAGCCCCGCCAACAGTCAGAACTGGAATATTTTTCTCGCCCCACGCGGTCACAACATGCCTTGCGACAAGGGTCTGGGTGCACCCGGTGTCAACAAGCGCAAAGCGCCATGCCCGTTAATCCGCATGCTCACTCGCGGGTAGCACCTTGTTCAGCGGGCGATCTGGGGAGAAGACTGGCGCTGTAGCTTACTCCCTTGCCCGTTTCCCGGACAGCTTTACCACGTGGCCCAGCTTGTCGCACCTGTAGCAACACATACGCCTCCGTGTTCCTCTGTTATGCGCGATCCTTCGCACCGCTTGGCAGTCTTTGGAGAAGTGGTTCAGTCCGCCACATTTATAGCACCTTATGTCCTCAGTTGGAGGTGCGGGTGCTTCCACAGCTGCTGAGACCGCCTCGCCGTCGTCCTTTAGAATATTCCGGCTCTGGCCAGTAACTCGCCTAGCCCCAGCTCATTGAGCCTTGACGATGCTCATAGCAGTCGACTTGGCGTTGTCTGGGAGTCCTGCCAGAAAGGCGATCCTAGGATTTGGTCGCTTGCTCCACCGAACTGTGCGCCAGCTTCCCCAAATCGCCAGAAAGACATCTACTGTTTCATCTGGTCCAAGCCGTCGTTCAGTAAACTGCCTCCAGGTGACAAAGGGGTCCGCACCGAATGCTGCGTATAGAGCTTGTTTTATTTCCTCCAAGTCTGCGTCATCCCTTAGCTGCTGATACACAGCGTAAGCTCCTTTGGTGAGTCTAAGAGGGATGACCAGTGCAGGATCTTTAATTTTACACAGCCGGCAGGCCCGCTTCGGCCTTTTCCCACCACTCGACCACAGACGGGCCAGCGGGGAGCCGTTGAACTCTGGTATCAACTTCAAGTCGAATCTGTCCATGTTGTAATAATGGCGAAATAGCTTGTAGCAAATGAGTCGACTTCAACAGTGTAAGGGACTTAACTCTTTCCGTCTGAAAATGTCTGACACGCTGCAACGCAAAGCTGTGTACACCAAACACGGGTGTAATGCTGTCTGCCAATTTCTCCAAGCAACCTGCTTTTTATGGAGCCCAGACACACCTCATTAGCATGTGTAACGCGACTTTATGTGACTGCACGAGACCGTGAATATTAAAAGTCACGGACGCCATCTTGGATCTTTTCTTTCCTTTCTCAACCCACAGGCCAGGCAGACACGGGGGGGCGTTTGTGAGGTAAACCATTTCTATTTTCCCCACACTCCCACCTGATCTCATGATCACAGAGTTGACAGGAGGCGGCGATCGCTGGCCGGGTACTTCTTCAAGAGGGACGCCATGAGCCTCATCGTTTTTTTTGCGCTCCTATTTATATTTCCCCACAGAAGGTAATTGAGTTTTGAAATGTCCATATGTTTAAAAAAAACAAAAAACAAAGCAAACATGGATATTTCAAAACTTAGTTACTCCCCTGACGTTTACATCATGAAATTTAAATTGCACAGTTTTAACCTTAGCATTTTTTACATCAGTTAAAAAAAATTTAACTTTCAGATAAACACAACAAATTTGTCTTAGGAAAAAAAACAAAAAAAACAACACACTGATTGTGCTAATGTTGAAAGAACTTGAAATAAATGAATGTATCAACATGGCAAGTTTCTCACTTCTTTTAATAAGGATACTAAGAACCTTGTCTGTGAATATGAGAGGATCCTATTGAAAATAAGTAGACAAAACTTGTGTAAATTATTCAATGGGACATGTCTTAATGAAAACACTCTTATATATATATATATATATATATATATATATATATATATATATATATATGTGTGTGCATGTGATCAGTTATTTCATTTTTGGCAATTTTAACTTTTTTGACAAATTTTATTTGCTAATTGAAAATATATTACATTTTATTTTCTTGGGTTTTGGTATGTTTAAGATTTATTCAAAGTTTAGGGAATTCATTTATGACATTAACTCTTATTCTTCAAATACCTTTATTTTCAATATTAAAAAAGAAAAAGTGAAGAACAAATTCAGTTTTTTAGTACAGGGTGCAATGGATAAATTGTCATCTAAATTACACAAAAATGAAAATAATACTGACTCTCATTTTAACAGATATATTTACTAAAATTACACAAAAGTATCTTGAAATACTAAAGAGTAAATTTATTCAATAAAATTGCCATTGGTTTCAACAATGGTCTACAGATGACTTTGGAATCTCCTGCAACTCTTCTGGATGGTCTCCTTATTTAAGTTGGTGAATGCTGCCATAAACCTTGTCTTCAGCTCATCTTTGGTGTTACAAGGAGTTTTGTTGGTCTCTCACCTAACTGCACCCCACACATAATAATCAAGGGGGTTTGCAGTTTTGGGGAGTTAGGTGGTCAGACTTAAGTGGGTGATATGGTCACAGAAATTGTCTGATTCCAAATTTCTGGCCAGAGTGAATTGAGTCATGGTGCTCCTTTTCTCACAGACGGTGCCCAACTGACCCTACTATACTGTGCAGTTGATAAAATCAAAAATATAAAATGGCGACAATTTACCCATCGCACCCTGTGTATGTGTTTACAACTTTTATTTTATATTTTGATGTAATTAGATTGTTCAATATGTAATGTGTTTCAGGCTTGATACCTCCCCATGAAATTAAGTACACAAGAAGCAAAGAATTCTGACATTTTATGATGAAGGTTCAAGATCATCAAGTAGCAAGCAAAAGAAATAATAAATTGGGATCTTCCATTGTTCTTCCAATTATTAGTTGTTATACATAACTGGAGAAAAAGTTAGAAAAAGTGAAACTGGAAGAAGAAGAAGAAGAAGAAAAAAGCAAAGGCCTTCAATACTGACTCAAATGTCCAGAAGCAGTTAATCATTTCTCTGCCCAAAAGTTTTAGTTTCATTATAAAGAAATAATACAGTCACGAATTCTGACACAAAATTTAACATTTCCTGTACAAGGAAGCCTGAACAAAAGAGAAAAAAAGCCAAAGAACATAATCAGCTAAAATGGATAACAGAGACAAAGATACCAGTTCAGATAATAAACAAAATAATGAAAATACTTCATCTCAAAACTTCAGACAAGACAATTATTATCTGATAAATAATTTTAAAACCTAACAAAATATGGTTCAAGGAAATTACAATATTACATAAAGAGTCAAAGATAAATAAAAACTCAGTTATTAAAAGGTTGTTATTGCTACAGAAAACGCTGTACTCTTGTGCGACCGCAGAAGCTGCTGTACTCTTATGTGACCACAGAAGCAGCCGTATTTTTATGGCTATAAAAACTACCATATTTTTAACCTTGCTACAAAATTGAGAGAAAATAAAACCTGGGCAAATTTGTCTTACCTTGTTCATCTTGCATCCTCTTAATGTGTGTAAATGCTTCCTCAGCTGTCATAATAAGTCTAGCTCTCCGTTTCCGCACACGTCTTTCATATTCTTGTTCCTCGTAGAATCGCTCGTTGTGACTCGTGTCTCTCCTCCTGCTATTGGGAGCAAAGACAGCCCTCTGTCGACCTTGCTGTCCAGCCGAGTTGACACCGTCAACATCGTATATCTTTAAGCTGGTCTGCTTTGCCGACCGCCGGTGCACATTTTCCAAGTAAGGATTAAAAACAGGAAAGTCCTTGTAGTAGTTCTCCAACACCCACACAGCAGCTCTTTGGATACTCAAAATACCAATGTTATAATTTTGACTCATGCCGTCTGGCGATCTCACAACCTTAATGACAAACTGTGGCTGGAGTTGCCGAATCTCCAACACAATGATCGACAGGTAGTGAATGAAGAGGAGGGCGTCGACCAGAGAAACAGAAAACTGGACAATATTGTAGTATTCGGTCTTTTTCTCCTTGAAGATGCGGACACCATAGAAAAGCCAAAATGCAAATGTTAGAACAAAGACAAGAAAAAGAACAACGGCACGGAAGACATACACACGAGGCATCGTGGCCTTGGGATGGCGGAAAAATAATGCCATTGTACCCATCAGCAGTATGATAAGCTTAAATGTAAAACTGATTAGCAATCCTTCGCATTCAGGTTTACAGGGTCCAGCATCCCAATTCTTTATCCCTAACTTAGGCAAAATAACCATAATGATGGGAGAAGCAAAGCCAAATAAGCTAAGAACACCAGCTAAAATTGTTCCAACATAACGTGTACAATCGAAGCTAAGATTGTCATCAAGCTCTTTTGAAAACTTGTGCATGTCTTCCATGGAGAAAGCCGTCTCGCTAGTGTTGCCAGTGATAGCCGTCGTGTTGTCCCCCCAATTGTCATCCTGGGGGAGGATCTGTACCTCAATGCGTTCCTCGCATCCCTCTTCTCCAGAGCCGATGCGAGGGTCTCTTATCTGGACTGCTCGGTCATCTTCCCGTTCCTCTCCACCACGCACTTTGTCACGGCTCTGGCTGCGATGTGGACGGTTGCTGGGTTGGCGGTGGTGGTGCTGGCGGTGATGCATGCTGCCATGACTACGGTGTGACCGTTCTGAGCGGTCACTCTTGCCAGACCGCACAGATTCGGCTCCATCCATCATTTTCATTGGGGCTCTTTCGATTTAGCGCTTCTAAGGTAAATCTGCAACAAAAGAAAATTAAACGTATTAATTACTCTTGAACCAGCTCATTAAATATTTAATGACAGCAAAAGTTTTGGAGAAAACAAAATGTTGTACAAGGGAGAGGTTATGTTGACATTGAACTCATTGATGAAAAGAAGATACAAATGAAATGTTTGGGTTTATTGACACTTATATGGGTCATAATTTAAATTTGGACAGAATGATAAATACATAATACAATTTGGTGCACTCTTGAATCACACTATACTAAGCTTATTAGTAGCAGTATAAAATCCCAGAATGCAAAGCAATAATCAGCATCCTAAGCAGATATATTATTACTACTTTAGTGAGTCTAATTGTTATAAAGGCTCCAAAAATGTTGCCCTTGAGTCAAAACCAATGAAGGTTAGTAAGTATCAATAAATTCCTTCACCTATTAGATTTTCTTGAATAAAAAAAAAAAAAAAAAAAAAAATCAGATAAATGCAAAGAAAAATTTTTGGGAGGAGAATATTGTAAGCAATTGGGGTGGAGGAGAAAGAAAGGGAAAACCTAAACAGAAAAATATTTTAGAAGAAAGAATATTTTCAAGAATGAAATCATCAGCATCTGTTGGTACAAATTTTGGGACTATTGCAGTCTTTGAGGAAATCAGAAACATGTTTTTGAAAGTCAATCAATTTAAGTCAAAAGAATTCAAACCAAATCCTAAAACTGGAAATATCATGTTGTAAAACACATCAAAAGTTTTTGTTTTTTTAAAAATGGAATATATATGTGAAACGTAATAATCCAGAAATTCTTGTGCATGTCAAACTGATCTTCAAAAAACAATTCTAAATGCTTTCCCCAGGCCTGAAAGAATAAAATAAAAACTTTTCAAACAGAAACTCAATATATCTTTGCACTTAGCAATTAAAAATGAATGTCAAATGTGTTGTCCTTGCAAGCCATTGATGTTAAGTTTATACAAGGGATGCTGAAAAGTTCTTCGCAAAATCTAACCAAATGACTAAAGACATTTTTTGATTTGTGTGGGATGGAGTGAACTTTTCAGTACACCCACCTTTGTAGCATTTGTCAAGATTTAGAGAAGAGTTCAATTATACACTTGAACGTTTGGTTCAAAGTTGCAGTGCATGGCTTTGTTTTCTTGATTACAAATGGCCTCCTTTCTTCATTGATATTCATTGACTTGTAAAAATCTGACATGCACAAAGTATAAATTATTATTGAAATCAGCAAGCACCAAATGGCAGATCCCCAACCATACTACATTGAGCAATAAAAAAAAAATTTAAAAAAGTCAATAATAAGGCATTTCCAAATTTATATATATCGACCTCAGGAAATTCTATTATATTTTCAAGAACTGAACAACATTTTATGTAAAAATATCTAATAGATGTTTGCAAGGCTAACAAGCTCTTTCCTTTCATTGCATATACATAAGAATAATCAATTATTATTTCTTGTTTGTCTATGTTTCAAGAGTAAAATCTGGGTTGCCTGAATGCAAACCTAAGAAAATTTAACCAGAAGGAATGACCATAGCCCCTAATTTCATTCATAGTGCCACAGCATTATTTAATCTTCCTGTTATTAATAAAAATAAGTTTTCTACTTCAGCCACAAGGCTAGCATTAATTTTTATTTTTTTCTGAAAATGGTATACATCAGGTGGTGTAAATACCGCTTCTGAAATATTTCCAGTAAACATAAATACAGAACATCACTTGCATTTATTACTAGATGATAATAAACAAAATTTGTTTTTCAGAAATTTAGTTGCAAGAAAGTGAATATTTTTTATTTTTTGCTTTTACTTCTGACAAATGTAATTCAGATCGAAAAGAAAATTTACTTTTATACACACTTGATTCTTCTAGCCACAAATACAATGTACATTGATCTTGTACCTACATCTACTGACAGATGAAACCACGACAGCCTTTTATTTTGTTAACTACAATGATTGGTAGAAATTATTAAGTAGCTGACAGAATAATGATATCTGAAATGTAAACTGAATGTCTTAATGAGTCACTGCCCATCTTTATTCACAAAAGGAAGGACCATAACCTCTTATTTTGTTGACTAAAGTGACTTACCTCTTTATTCAAAAGAGTCACTGTGACAAGAAAAGAACATGGGAATCAAAAGAAAGTACTTTTTTGTATTTAATGTTTTTTTGGTTTATTTTTGGCTGACAATAATCAAATAATTAAAAAACAAAAATCATAAAATTTTATGTTTGGAAATTTTAACGAAGACAAAATTAAAAAAAAAAAAAAGTAACTATGTGGCGGGCGGGGGTGGATAATGTTTTGTAGATAAATACCTGCCATATTTAATATTGTTACTGTGCTTCATGTGTGTGTGTGTGGATGCATATATATATATATATATAAAATTTTGAAGAGGATAGAATCCAGGTAGAGCTCAATGTACAAGACAGAGCAAGAATATAATATAAAAGGCTCAAGCACTAATATTCCATGGTTATAATTTATTACATTGGAATCGTGCTTACGATTCCAATGTAATAAATTATAACCATGGAAGATTAGTGTTTGAGCCTTTTATATATATATATATATATATATATACACACACACACACACACACATAAAAGGTGGGGAAGAGAATGAGTATAAGAAAAAAAAATCAGAAATCTAAACAAGAGTAAAACAAAAAAGAGGAAGGAAAAATCCCAGCAGGATTTGCTGGTGAGGGTGAAGAAGAGAGGATTAAGAGATAAATAGAGAAAAGGAGGTAGGAGAGAAAGAGAGAGACAGTAGCCTCCTTTAAGGAACATCAATACACAGATTTAGGAAATAAAAAAAAAATAAAAAAATAAAAAAAAATACATAAGAATCAGGCTCAGTCAATAAATAATGACTTCTATTTCTGAAGAAGGCCATACACCTAAAAAATGTTCTGGAACATACTTAAGAATATCTTGTGTATGTGTGTGTGTGTACATATATTAGGGGGAGACAGAAAGCAGTATATAAATAAATATGTAAATAAAAATTTGTCAAGAAACTGGCAGTTACCATCTTTTACTCTTTCTTGGCAACCAGTGGCGGTGTTGAGCATCTATAAAATTCCATATCTCTTCTGTTGTAAGAAGCTATCAGATTACAGAAAGGGAAAATTACTAATTTTCTATAAAATATGGGAACCTGAAGGCTCAAAACTTATTTGTTTTATTATTCTTCTAGATATAATAAACAAAAATCAAGAAAATAAACACAACTTTAGAGGAGGGCTAAAAAAAACAACAAAACATACAAAATCTTTTTTTTTTTTTTTTTTTTTTTTATTTCAAACTGTCAAGCAAAGTGATTTAAAAATAAATAAATAAAAAATTAATTTATTAAGAAATAACTTATGCCGGTTCTCCGGAATAAAAGGTATCAAGTTGGTAAGGGGATGAAATTTATGGGCATTATCAACGAAATGGGTGGTGTGGGAATTGCAGAGTAAGAGGCAGGAGTAGTAAAGGTGTGGCAGAAATGGAAAATCCATGAGGTTGGGAAGACCTGTTGCTTGTTGGTTCTTTTCCAAGTCTGTTGTGCAGCCAATCAAATTGCAAGAAGCAGTAAATGGGAAAATAAGGGATTTTGGAAGAGACAAGATTTGATAAGGGAGAGTCGGGAAGCAGAAGGAAGTGAATTTAAAAAAAAGAAATAAAAAAAAAAAATGCAAATAATAATGCAGCTTCCTTCAAGAATTTGATTAAGAAAAATGAAACCAAATTAAACTTTAAATTTCTCCCAATTTACAAGATTTTTTAAAATCTTATGGATTTATATCACTTATTTGCTTCTATAAAGTCAATTTCCAACATCTCTTAAAACATTTTTGCAATATCAAAACATTCACACACACACACACACACATATATATATATATATATATATAAAACAAATAAATATAATACTTACATTACATTGATTGCACAATTCTGAGTTTCATGCCAACACAAATGCATCTACCTATATTTACCCATTTGGTTTTATATATATATATATATATATATATATATATATATAGCAATTTGTTTTATTTATGATTGAATATGAAACTGAGCAAATATAATTTTTCAAGAATCTGGGAAGGGTTTGCATTTATAAGGCATTATTCAGCCTTGCTTGATCAGTGAGACCGTTCCTGGCCGAGTCTTTCTAAAGCATATTGAATCTAATGACAATTTCTCCTGCAAAGGGGTACACACATTTAAATCCTCCTGGAGGGAGCATCATTTTCTTTAACAAGATTTCTTGAATATTCAGATCAGTAAATGAAAATAAACGTACTGTTTAATAAGTAATTGGAGGCTCTACTCAAATATGGGGATCTGCTAAAAATATCACACATATACGTTTCATCAAAGAAAATGGTTGACCAGTGTATTTCTAGAGAATAATGTTTTTAAGGTGAGCATTTTTTGTAATTAAAGTGCTCAATATCAAAAGATAGAGCATTAATATCAATAAATAAAAGTAAATTTTCAACTTATTTACAGAAATCATTTTTCTTTTAACATCATTTAAGATAAATATGATTTCTGTAAATAAACTAAGTTTTACTACCAAAAACTCCCAAATCTTTGAGTAAGGAGAGACACAAATACCCATTAGTTAAAACTTAGTCATTTTTAAACAAGCTAATTTCACAGACTTTCAATAATGTAATGAGTTCAATTCTCATTTAACCTTTAAATACAGCTTTCAAATTCAACAAGTTTCAGTCCCATGTCAAGGGAGAAAAAATCTATTTTGTTCCATCAGCTTGTTCTATGCAGCTTTGATGAATAATAATTAATTATCTGAAATTAATGCTGGATAAACTCATAATATATATATATATATATATATATATATATATATATATTATATATATATATATATGTATGTGCCTCATTTCAGTTGAGACATTATCCAAGTAATGGAATGCTTATG